CCCCAAAACCCCAAAACCCCAAAACCCCAAAACCCCAAAACCCCAAAACCCCATACTACTAAAAGATTATTGAGAACGTTATTTGAAAAATGAAGCCCCAATGTCCCTAAACTCACAGGGAAATCAACTACGAAAAGAATCTTTAGACTTGAAATTAGGGTTTAATACAACTGTGTGATAGATAATAGTCGATACTCTCTATCATTTCTTCAGCTGTGTAATTGAAGTTGATCAAGGCACGTTCTCCCTTTATTGCTAAAGAGAATAAGTCATATGTCCTAGCTGCTTCAATATCATCGCTGAAAGTACCAATGTACTTCTTACTCTTTTTCACATTGATCAGGGCTTGCCAATGGGTGTTATTCTTAGTCACCCCAATATATCGAGACCTTCTGCCAAGGTTGATGTTCGATGTGAACCTTGTCTTCTTCCTTGATTGAGTGAACGCAGTCGCATTATTTATGCATATTATTAAGTATCCGCCTTCTTAGTTTTAGGAGTCCAGGCTTAATATCAAGCTTATCAACTCTGCTCTTTCTTTTCTTTAGCCCTTGGGAAAGACTTGTATCGCTGTTATTCTTTAGTTGAGGCTCCTTCTTTAAAGCAATTGGATGAGAAGGTAGATTGGCAAGCTTGTATCTCAAGGATCCATTTTCAGCATCACCTTCATTTTTATTCATTTTTTCAGAGTCTCTATAGAAGAAAATAAGAATTTGTAAAGCAAAAAGTCAACAAGGCAGTGAAAATTAAGAGGTTTTGAGGACTCAGCTCTCTTACCTTTGATTAATAATTTCTTTGGGTTGCTGAGCATCCTCTAGATTTGGTCATGAGAGAGAATCTGTATAACTCTGAAATAAGTTCTTTCTGTCTCCAGGCTGGAACATCGAATTCATTGATTCCGATCATTGGGGATTCTCAAAGAAATACCATACTGAGAGGGAGTCTAGCTTGGCAGAATTCCAAAAATTTGTGTTATCCATTTATAAAATTATGAAAAATTAATCTTTAACTTTATTAATATTTTTAAGTAGATTCTCTCGTTCCCAAAAGATTAACTTTTCTGATAGATCAATCCTGATTTCCAAGGAGGGTCCATATTTACTCCTTTCCATGGCGTTCAATTAATTTAAGCATAATTATTGGGCATCAGCCAGACTATTAGGCAGCCTTGGAGATTTTTATCGAAGATAGTACGTTAAGCATCTCTTTTGAGTCACCTACTTTAACCATTTTGGAGTTCTAATTTCCCACATTTTTGTAAACTCACACCCAGAAGCTTCTATTGGGGAGAGACCTCTTAATAAAACTGTGTTTTGTTAATATTTAATCAAATTTATCTCTTCCCTTCTGCTTTAGCTCATTTCAAGAATTAGGTTTTAATATTTTTCAAGGGAGTTAACCAATAGGGTTGATCTTCATTAGAATGAGAAGGCTTCTTAAGGCCTATTGGTTAGATAATCTCTAATATCATCCAAGAGACTCTTGAGGTAAGAAACATGAGAAGTTTGCTAATTAATTCTAATAATAACTAAACTAATACTCGTTTGGTCATAAATGAATTTTAACTCCCCCAAAATATATGAATTGATCTTATATGGCCAAGAGTTACCAACTTCGTGCATATTTAAGCTTCTTAGTAAGCTATTTTCTTTGTAGTTGTCGTTTTGGTAGGCTAATAGGTGTCATCTTCCATTAGTCCAGAAAAATCTAAGAATTCATAGCTCCTAATTTTACCATCTTGGCAAGAGCTGTTCTCTAAAAAGCGAAGATTGTCCAAATTTTTAGTTATTAGCTTATAAAAGCAACTTAAAATTTGGCTGAGAAGCTGAAATTCCTCTTGAAGCCGTGCTAAAGCATCAAGCCTAACAGTAATGAGCATTCCTTGAAGGTGGGATTTAGAAGAAAAGGGATTAATGAGTTTTAAATCCGCACATTCTTCATGCAAATTGCACAAATGTTTGCAAGTATCTCTTTGCTAGATGGTTGAAGTTCCTTCTATGCTCTCTGTACTCCAACCTTGACAAAATACCAACCGAGTTGGCTAAATAAATCCAAATTTAGGAGAATGCCTATTATGTGATGAAGCGATAGCCCATGGGTTAAAATGCCGTATTTGGGGAGTGCTACTCTACAATACTGAAAGTATTAGACTAGTTTATATGAGTAAGACTTCTGATAATACAAATAATGAAGCTTTATCTTCTTTTGTCATTGGTTACAGATCTTTTTCTTCGAAAATGCCCTCTGAAATTGACCCAGAGAGAAAAATTACAAGGGATTGGCCACCATGAGGGGGTTGACAAAGGTTTAAGCTTTATTTAACAGCAGCCAGCTGACATGTGGAGCAAAGATCTCCCAAAGAATAATAAAGAGAATATACATTCCTCTGATACTCTCTGCTCTATCTTCTAAGTTATGTATTAATGTTTTTATTTGAACAAATTATTTTTTGAATAATTAGAGTGAGAAATTTAATAGTTATAGACTGAAGAAAGCTAATCTCCTCAATTTTCTGGATGAATAGAAGCTAGTACTACTTTTTGGGAACCATCTTCTTCCTTCAGCTTTCTTGTAAAAAATTCAGTAAAAGTTGATACAGAATAATAGCTTTTTGAGGTTGATAATGTTCTTAATTTATCTCAACACATAAAGAGTGAAAGTATTGAATTACAGAATTCAGGAGTTAGTTCATGCACAGACTTGGAATAAGATCTTGATACAAACTAATGCTTTTAAATTGTCAATGGGAAATATACACTTTTCTTCAGAGGGATTTAAATGGATAAATTAATTCTTGAATTTTGAGAACACTGCTTAGGGGCTCACCTCCTGATAAGAGAAGAAAAGAGCAATTTTGCAGATCTCTCCTCAAACTAGCAATAGAAGTTATCTAAATCTAAGGTGTATTTTCATTACAATAACTCTTGTTATGTCTTAACCCTTATTTCTTGATAACTTATAGTTAATATTCAATAAGCGACTCTAGCATCATGGATTGGCCATTTCTAGATATTTTTAATTTTGCTAAATTATTAACCTCTAAATTCAACCAGATTCTTACCTTGGGGTTTTGGGGTTTTGGGGTTTTGGGGTTTTGGGG